AAGCTCAGATCAGCAGATTTGCATAGTCAGGCTTTATAAATAAAATGCATTATTATTATTATTATTATTATTATTATTATTATTATTATTACTACAAGAGTGTTCTCTACCATTCATCCAGCTTCCATATATTTACTCTGTATCTGCACTACTTGGGTGAACTATGGTAAACAAAATGATTGTGTTTGCTGAAGTTCATGTCCTCATTAAAAATTTCACAAGCTCAGATCAGCAGATTTGCATAGTCAGGCTTAAAAATACAGGTTTGAATAAACAGTCACGTTAACTTTCTCCATCATTTTTTAATGTAAACAGTTCAATTAGAACAATACAAACATTTGATTTCATTGAATAACTTTAATATTGCTCTATAATGGAACTATGCAAATATTGTTCAAGTATTCATTCTACAGACAAAAATATTAGAAATGTCTTATAGGTCCGGATTGAACTAGTTTAGTTTTGCTCTTTTTTAAGAGCAACTAAATATGGGTTTATTTTTAAATCGCTTCCAAAAGCATGTCATGGCTGACTCTTTTTCTCCTTATTTATAGGTTGATAGCACAGTTATAGGTCTTCAGATTTTTATCTAGCACACCACCATACCATCAGGAAGCTTTTGACCCTCATTCATTTTGCATCATGACAGGGACCCCAAACATAAAACCTGAACTCCTGCAACTATTCTCAGCGACCAGAAGACCAAAAAGTCTGCAACAGATGGTTTGACTCCAAGAGAGCCCTGAGCTTAACATCATAGGGTCAGTCTGGGATTACATAAAGGGACAGAAGCAACCGAGAAAGCCTTAATCCAACATAAATGAAAACTGTATTTCAAAATGTAGTCAAAGTTCAATATGAGAGGAAGAGCACACTGAAAAACTTACTTTTTTCCCCCTACGAAGTRTAGCCTAATAAATTACTATTGACAGGGCAGCATGTGGTGTGGTGCTGTACTGACCGTTGCCCAGCTCCCAGGAGACGTTGTACTTCTTGCCAGCACCGTACTTCAGGAGGCTCAGRGTGGAGGAGGTGTTCCAGGAGTTGTCGGGGTTTCTGTGTAGCGCGTTGAGCCCCAGGATCAGGTGAAGACCAGCGCAGTCGGCAAAGTTGTACAGTTTGTCTAAAGACCTGGCTGGGAAAAATCCCACAAAGCAGTTGTAACTTTGATTCTTTTGATTCACTTGGAATCATATGACCATTTGAACATGATAGAAACCATGTGAGTCTCATGGAAACAATGGGCCTCATGCAAGAACCGTTCRTACACACAGATTTGTTCTTAAGTTGTGCGCACGAGTGATTTAGGAGTATTTGTGGCATTCACCAATGTTTTCGTATTCTACGATTTTTTTCAGATA